AGCAGCTCGCCCGCCTGCAGCAGCCCCTCCCGGGCGCAGCACGCCCGTGGCCAGGGCATCCCCAGCTGCAGCTCCTGGAAGCGGGAGCCATTCCCAAAGTCTTCGGGTCCTAAAACACCACAGCACGAGAACTGAAAGGGAAGGGAAACGCCATCAACACGCTGTCAAAATGGAGGGGAAGAGCCCAGCGTGGCACTCGGTGTCTGTCTGGGGCCCACAAACCCCTCGCCTGCATTCCGGGTCACCCTTGGCCGGTCCTGTGGGTGCTCCCCCAGGAGCATCCCGGCTGCTCACCGTGACCATGAGGGGTGTTCCAGGCGGTGGAGAAGACCTCGGCACCCTCATCCCCGTGGTAGTTCCTCTGCAGCTGGGACAGGAATTGCTCCGGCTGGATCTGTGGGATCGGTGCCATCTGCGAGCACTGGGGGACTGGTACCAGGGATGGGGCCATGGGGGCTGCGCACCCACCCCTGCCCAGGGCGCCAGCTCTCCTCGAGGGCTCATGGGGACACCCCCCACGGGATCCTCCCCCCCAGATCTGGGCTTGCGTCAGGGGGCTGGTGATGAAGGTGAGGGTGAGAAAGGACGTGCCCGCACCAGCCCCAGTCCCCTGAGGGATTCAGGACCACAACCCATGGCGTGACGGAGGGAGGAGAGGGGCCGGGCACGGCGTCAGGGCGCTGGGGTGGTACCTGTTTCCAGTGCACCAGGAAGAGAACAGCCCCAACGAGCTGCGTGATGAAGATGAGGCTCACGAGGATGAAGAACTGGAAGGCAGAGGGATGAAGGGGTCAGAGGCAAACCCTGTGGGCAGCTCGCTCTGGCTACTCCTCCCCTCCTCTGCAGCCAGCCCTGCCCGTGCCCTGAGCCCTTGGGGGATGCAGGGGGCGAGCGCGAAGCTCCTGAGGACAGACCCCACACCTCTGGGCACCGGGGCTGCAAGGCGGAGGGTTAAAACCAAACACGGTCTGGGGATGCCAAAGAAATTGGGGTGTCGGTGCTCAGAAGGGGGTTTCTAACCCTCACCATGGAGGGGAAAAGCTCAGAAATGCCGAGGCAGTGGCTTCAGAGAGAAGTGACCCCGCTCAGTGGCTTTGTAAAATTCTCTGGGCTCTAAACTGGAAGAGTCACAAGGAGGCGGCTGGGTTGGGACGTGCGCTGAGGGCTGATGGGGCCAGGATAGGGAACGCCGGGCTTCTGGCTCCTCCGAGGACACCCCGCATCCCCCAACACCCCCCATCCCCTGG